GGCTCGAGCCAGGCCTTAGTTGGGCTTGGCTCGCGAGCCTATGAGCCTATAATATCAGGCTCGGCTCGGCTTGGATCAGCTCTGCTCGCTAGGCTCGCGAGCTTTAAGGCCTATGAGGAGCTTTAGATATATATATGGATAAGTACGGATAAACACGGATAAAAATGGATAAACACAGATATCCGCGGATATATTCGGATATCCTCAGATATCCGTGGATATATCCGGATGTTTAATTACAGATATCTGTATCCGTGATAAAGCTTCACGGATATCCGTTCACGGATAAACAGATATCCAGATCCCACCACTATCTTTTTGAACTTTGCATCTTCTCTCAAAGGATAATAATCATCATCATCATTTCTATCACCAGGATCCTCATCCCTAGAAAAATTATCATCCAATATACAAGGCAATTGTACACCAGTATTATCATTAATAACTTGTTGGCTTATATAGTAAACGCATTCGCGTAAAGTCGAATTGGTATCATTAGGTTGAACGACGCGAGTAATATACAAATCTGTTGGACTTGCTTCTTCTCATTTGAGAAAGTATGTATCACTATATTCATTTCTATAGGCATCTTTATAACTGTGTGATCACTATTGCATAAAATATAAGCAAACAGCCCAGGACATTTTCCAGCAAATTTCGCTCCTTATGTTTCTAGTAATATTTTAACTGGTCATAAAACATTATTTTGAAAATGAATTTCTGCGTCTCTTTCACTTCCTAAGGGTCCTGCATCAGTTGGTAACACAGAAAATTTTCTTCCTGGAAGAGGATCTTCAGCACGTCTGATCTCAAAGAAATCCAGTCCATTCTCTTGCTTTTTCTGGAGAACGTGAGTAAGCAGAAGCCGTTGAACTCGGATTAGTTGGAGCTTGCGGAAACTATTGACAATTTGGAATGACGTGACTTAGTAAAAGACTTGCTGTTTCAGTCATCTTGAGGATTAATGGTCTATCAAAAAAATAACCACAGATCTCTCAAAAACGATATCTTTGCTTGTAAATTTGGCATCCCAAATAAAAAGTGTTCGTGACTACGAGCCAATAGTCATTATCAACAATAATTTTTATGAAATAAAAAAAATAAGATCAAAAGGAAAATCAAACAAGTACATATACTCGAATGATTATCAACAATTTTCAGCCATCAATAGAAAAAAATCGTTACACAAATTTATTTAATTAGTGATTTACAACTCCATAACGCGTATTTATAAATTTCTTATTTTTTTCTTTTCCTATCTTTGTCTTTCTTCAATTTTCATCCATCAATAAAAAAATTTTAAATTTCTTATTTTTTTCTTTTCCTTTTTTTGTCTTTCTTTACACACTGCATCGTTTATGGCCATTAAAGGGAGGTAAGTAGAAATATTTATATGTGAGAAAGGCCTTTTTATCCATTTATTTCACTAAAATGCGCACTCTTAAAATCTTTACGAGTTTGCCACTTTAACCATTTCTTATTATGGAACGCGTACTCTCTTAAGCATACCTTTTTATCCGTTTCATATTTATTAAATGCGTCACTCTCCTAAATTTTTGTGAGCGTGCCCTTTTATCCATTTTAGTAGAAAAATGCGCCAATCTCACACTCTTTTTTATTCTTTTCAGATCTTCCTAGATATAGAGGAAGAAACTGTTGTGGAAAAGCGGAGCAGCCAGTAATGATCGGTGGTGATATTGAGTATTTAACTTCTATACAATTGGAAGAATGGCTTCAGGAAGAAACACCTGTTCAATTTGTCCATATAATTAAAAAAAAAGAGTGTGATAATAAATATTTTGTAAAAAAATTAGATTACCCTCCTTTAAACTCATATATTTGCTAATGCATTTTTTTTTCTAGCTACGGCCATATTCATTTCTCAAGTATAATTTCAGCAAGTCAATTTTATAACTGGTCCAAATGCCGAGAATTTAAGTTCTCTGCTCGAATTATACGAATTTTTGGATCTTGTTATTTTAAAACAAAATGAAGAGTCAACTACTTGGTAAACTATTTTGAACCTAAGTGTTTAGATTATGTTCTTCCTAACTTTATTTATACCATTAGACTCTGAATAATGTAATTAATTCCATTACCGAGCCTCAATCCACCGAATCTCAAGTCACTATTACCACTATTACCGAACTTCAAACCATCAAACCTCAACCTACAATTACTGAGCCTCAATTCACCGAATCAGTCGCTATTACTGAACTTCAAACCATCGAACCTCAACCTACAATTACTAAGCCTCAATCCACCAAATCTCAAATTACTACGTATTACCACTATTACCGAACTTCAAACCATCGAACCTCAACCTACAATTACTGAGCCTCAATCCACCAAATCTCAAGTCGCTGATTTTAGCGATGTTTTATCAAAGTATGGGATAGATTTTGGTGAGATAGATAGCATCCCCTTATTCAACCCGGATAAGTTAGCACTAGTAAATAATTATGTTGAGGCAGTTTCATATAATTCTAACAAAGCTAACCTGTAATTTTTCTGTATAGAACAAGTAAAAATTGATGAAAACGATAAAGAATTCCAGTTCTGCATAAATCTCAAAATGTAAAATGGATAACTTAAATTTAGTAACAGGGCATAATAAAATCATACAAAGTGAATATATTTCTATGATACTTAACGCATCAATTAATATCGTCAGGAGAATCTCTCGGAAAATCACCATAAATCAATTCGAAGTTGTAAGTAAAGAAGGCCAAGTTTGCTATGCAATTAAAAAATAGTAGATTCTATGAATCAAGAGATTAATCAGAGTGAAAAAAACCACGAGCATGTTAGAAGAAAAAGAAAAGTAGACGAAATGTTTAAGCATGAATATGACTACTTTTATATAATTGTTAATGCAGGTAATGTTTTCTAAAGATATAAACGTAAGTACCTTCTTTAAATCACTACTAATTTAACTTTCCTATTTTTAGATATGGATTGGCACCTTCTCTTATATACCACCGAAAAGATCTACCACACGATTAGCGAATAATACCGAACTCTACCAAAAGGTAAAAAAAATCATGGAAGTGATTGTGGGTTTGTTAGTAGATAGGTTTGAATTAAAGGTTTCACATAGTGTTTTGTGTTATGTTATGTAACTTTTCTATACATATATATTATTTTAGACGGGTTTTAATTTTTAATTTTTTTTTTAAAAAAAAAAACCAAATTTTTTGGTATAAGAGTTATAAAATACGTTAGTTATCGGAATAGAATTAGAAAAAATCCAATCAAATCCTATTAATGTAGATAGATTCGATTATGTCAATTTATTATTATTTTTTTAATTAAATATACAGAGTTTAAGATAAATACTATGTCCTTATTATTATTATTATCATTATTATTATTATTATTATCGTTGTGGTTATCAATCATTCAATAGTATTAATTAATTATTTTAGAAATTTCTTTAGTATGATTAGCAAAAATATTTAAAGTGTCTATATCCGAATCATATACTGAATACCAACCTGGAGCTAAAAATAAATAAAATATATAAATTAATTAATTCAAGATTTGCTCGATCGTTTATTAAAATAACCAATACTTACGTTCATGAGGTGGATCACCCAACCATTGTGGAGGATTATCAGTTGATCTAGCAATTCCAGCGTATGCCCAAAACATATTACCACTAAATATATTATTATTATTATTCATTAATTCTAAAATTTTATTTGATATGGCAGTAAAATATTTATTCTTGTTGGTGATAGGTGCATCTGATGAATATTTTGATAATCCACTCCAACCATCTCTCGCCATTCCTGAAAATAAATAAATAAATAAATAAAATAAATAAATAAAAATAAATAGTATGATGATATGATTATTCAAATTATTATTTACCATATTCTTCAAGTATAATTGGTTTATGTAAAATATTAATTGACCAATCACTAACATTTTGTAAAAAGTTCAACATGAAATTTTCAGCTATTTGATAATTCTCAATACTTGAATCATCGGAATTATAATAACCCCAATTTTCCACCCAAACGTGAGCACAAGAAAAATCTATATTTTTACTCTTGTGCATGGTGACAAACCATTCTTCCCCATTTTTACTTTCCGATCCTGTAGTAACCAAATGATTTGAATCTAATGATTTAATATAACCCGCTGATGAATCTATCCAACTGTAAACATATTCATGATCACTCTTATTACTATTATTACTACTACTACTATTGTTGTTGTTATCTTCTTCTTTCAAAATTTCTTTTGTTTCAAAAATTGCTTGAGGTTCATTTGCCAATTCCCAAGCAAATATTACAGGATCATCTTTGTAATGAATACCATTTATAGTATTTTTACGATTCACTACAGTTTTTACATGATTTAAATAATAATTTTGACAAATTTCTAAAATTTTGGGATCCGAATAAAACCTTGCCGCATATTTTTCAAATTCTGTAAAATCTTTACTACCCTTTTTTGGATATGGTATTTTTGATGAAGAATTATTATTATTATTATTATTAGTGTTGTTGTTATTGTTGTCAGCCCAATTAACATATTGAGCAAATCCTCCTGACCATTGCCAATAATTTGATAAAGTCTATAATAATAATAATAATAATAATAATAATAATTTAATATTATAATAATGTATTATATTACAAGTAGATAGATAGATAGATATATATATAAATATAAATCTCATAAATTAATTAATTAATTAAAAAAATTAAATTTATTAATAAAAAAATTCTTACCATAATTGCAGTCATTTCAAAATTTCTCAATTGATCAAGAAACCAATCAAGACCTTTTGTTTATAAATTTTTATGATATAAAAATTAATTAATTAATGATATAAATAAATGATAATATAAATATTATTATTTATATTATTATTTATATTATTATTTATATTAATTAATGTAAAAATTCCAAAAAAGAAAGATTTGATATTAATTTTTTATACCTTGAAAAACTTTTTCATCATATTCACCAGGATAATTCATTAAAGCGGGATACATTCTTTGAGGTTCTCCGGGTGGACCTTCAGTACCAGCCATAATTCTAATACAATTAATTCCATATTTTTTAAGGGTTGTTAAATCTTTAATAACTCTTGACCTATTTCCTCCTTCTCTTTCTTCTCCTTTATTTGACATTCCTAAATTCATTGCTTGCCAATAATTTGCTCCAACAATATAAAAAGGTTTATCGTTAAGAATAAAACCAGTTCCATTATTATCAACTTTTGCAAACTTGGAACTTTCGTTTTCTTCAGTTCCAGTGGTAATAATAGTATCTTGATTATAATTAATTGAACTCATCAAATCATCAAAAGGATTATTATTAAAACCTGTTTGAATGAATTCAAATATTAATGAGATTCCAATTAAAATTATTAAATATATGAAGAAAAAAAAGAGAAGTCGATTCATTTTATATATAAATTCCCTCAAAATATCAAAAGATCACATCTCATTTTTTAACGTTGATCAGAAGTCATTTGACAATTTTGTATCTTTATTTATTTAAACATTAAATAAAATATACATAAATAAAATAAAATGAAAAAATAAAATAAAATAACTAAATGTAACCACCAAAAATACCAAAATGTAACGTTTTTTGTTTTGATTATTATTGATTCTATATATATATATATATATATATATATAATCAAAAATAAATAATAAAAAAATAATAATTAGCAAGAAAGAAAAAAGAAATTAAATTTTTTTTTTAAAAAAAAAAAAAAGATTTATTTAAAATGAAAAAGAATTTTTCAATTCATATAACGTGAATAATCGATAAACGCCGCGTTATAACTTCCACAGTGATCCGTCAAGTCCCATATATTTCTTTCATTATTATTCTTAATATTGTTATTCTTATTACTATTATTATTATTCTTGTTGTTGTTGTTGTTTTTGTTATTATTATTTCTGTTGTTGTTGCCATTATTACTTTCATTAAAATTATTATTATTATCATTATTAAAATTACTACTTTCATTAAAATTATTACTTTCATTAAAATTATTACTATCATTAAAAGAAGAAGAACGTGAAGAAATAAAAGAAGATTCTTGAGTAAATGAATTTTCAGAGATAGAAAATAAATTATTTTGATCAGGAATTATTTCATTACGAATACTAAAATTATTATTATTGTGATTATTATTATTATTATTATTATTATTATTAATGTCGTTATTGTTGTCGTTATTATTATTATTATTAATGTCGTTATTGTTGTCGTTATTATTATTATTATTAATGTTGTTGTTATTGTTGTCGTTGTTATTATTATTAATGTTGTTGTTATTGTTGTCGTTATTATTATTATTATTATTATTGGTAATAAATTGAGCGAAATCATGTGTAGAAATAAATTGTTGTCGCGGATGTGGATGATAATTATGATAATTTGAATTTGATAAAATTTGAATTGGAGATTCAAGTAATTGTTGATGTTGTTGAAGAGAATGTGTTTGTGATTGTAATAATTGTTGATCGGATTGATTAATTATTGGAGAAATTATTGAAGGATGATGATGATTATTATTATTGTTATTGTTGTTGTTTTCGTCGTATAATCTTGAATGATAATGATGATGATGATTAGTTAATCCAGCAGAAGTAATCATTTGATAATCATAACGAGGAATTGTAGGAGGAATTGGTGACCAATGACTACAAAGTAAAGGAGTAGAAGCAATAGGAAATTTAACAGTATTTGAAATAACCTGATTTACACCCACAGAATAAATATTTGTAATGTTTGAAGGAAGAGGAGGAGGAGGTGAAGAAGAAGAAAGAGGTGGTTGTTGCGGTAGTTGTTGTTGTTGTTGTTGCATAGTAAGAGGAGGAGTATTAATGTTGATATTATTGATATTATTTATATTATTAATGTTATTAATGTTATTGATATTATTAATGTTGTTAATGTGAATTTTATTATCATCATAATCTTCTTGATCAACTTGAATATTTCGAATATTTTGAATATTTTGAATATTTTGAATATCTTGAATATCTTGAATATCTTGAATATCTTGATTACTATCAGGTAAATCTTCATCTGATAAATCTTCTTCATCATCACTTTCACTATCATCATCATTATCATCATCATCACTATCAACATTCCATAAAAAAGTTGTATCATCATTTCCTTGATGATGATAAAAAATATATTCTTGATTCAATTGATTATTTATGAAATGGTGAGGGGGAGGAGGACGAAAAAGTGGTGTTGTTGGAGATAAAGATATTGTTTGTGGTAAAGTTGAAGGCGGAGGTGGTGGTAATGGTGGTTTTAATAATTGGGTTTTTTTCTTTTTACATTTTTTCGAGTTACGATTTATTTTTGGCATTTTTTCACTTTTCATAATATCTTCACCAGGTTGAATAAAACGAAGTTCTTCAAATGCTTGCGGTGGTAAAAGTTCATCTGTTTCTACATCTCGAAATAATGAATAATTATTAAATAAAGTAGATTAAAGTAAATTAAAGTATATTAAAGAATATTAAAGAATTATTAAAATTTACCTATTCCATCCTCATAAATAATCATATGCTGATAAGTTCCATTAAATTTTATGGAAATAGTTTTTTTCAAGAATCCATTATTCCTTAATATAAAAGTTCCTTTACTACATTGATGAACTTTTAATCCTTCAGCTTGTACTCGCCTCCGTAAACCCTCGTCAATAGGTTCGTCTCGTTTAACACTTCGATCACGTGTCGATAATTCGCGATAAACTAAGAAATCTTTAATAATTCGACTAGGTGACCAAAGGCTTTATAAATATAAATAATGATTTTAATATTATTAATTAATAATAATAAACGATAACGATAAAATCATTATAGATACGACAATATAAATTATTACCGTCCATCGGTCCATCGTTTAATACCAGATTCATTTTCATCAAATACATATCTAAAAAAATAAAATAAAATAATAATAATAATGATATTATAATAATTATAGTTATTTGTCGATAGAAAAAAGAAATATTTACACTTGACCACTACGCAATTCTTCCTTTTCTTTTTCTAATAATCGACGTGTAGTTCTTTGAAGTATACCTTGTCTACACGCTTCTAGAATTTTTTACATGAAAATAATTTAGGATAAATCAAATATGTAATTTCATTTTAGTCAAATTGTTTGTAAATTAAATTACCAAAAATTCTCATGGCATCATTAACCGTTTGAATCTTTCCTAATAAAGGTATAAAAATAAAGAATGGGTTATTATTAATTATTTTGTCATAATAACTTTAAACTTTAATATATTTTAATAATATTATTATTTTAAGGTTAAAAAAAAAAAACGAATATCGTAAATAATAATCGACACTAAAAATTATAATAATAATCGATACTAAAATTATAATTATAATTATAATAATCGATAATAGACTTGCCATTAAAAGTTTCCATAACAAAATTTCGCCAAACCACCAGAAAAAAATGTGTAAGAAAAGTAAAAAAGCCAAAAAAAGAATCTAAAGGAAAAATAAAATCTTTATAATAATAGTAAAAATTCTTTATAATAAATAATATTAAAAAACAAAATTCTTTATATTAATTCTCTATAATAATAATAAGAAAGAGAAGAAGAGTCAAAAGAGGATGAGGAGTTTTCTTCTATTCACACAACACCCACATAACACACTATAACAAAAAAAGTACACGAGTTAATATTTATATAATTCTAAAATTTAAATTTTATTTTCTTTATTTTATTAATAATAATAAAGCTGGCGTCATATATATATATATATATTCATAAATTCATGCATAGATAAATATTTAATATATATAATATATTTTCGTATTTTAATATGTAATATAATTTTTATAATATAATATAAAAATAAAATATATATTATATAAAAAATATGTACACGCAAAAGAATACATATATTAAAAAAAATAGATCAAAATGTATATTACAATGACATGATATTTTAGATTCAATAAGAAAAAAGATATATTAAAAAAAAAAAAATTTACGCGTTAATAATTATTATTATTTATTATTGCACATTTCTTGATTTAATTTCTTTAGATAATAAAAAAGAAAAAAAAATACGCCAAATGACAAAAAAAAAAGGCAAAAATATTACAATAAAAAAAAAAAAGATCAATGATAACTCCACAACAACGGCAACACGCCATCTCATCATCATCATCATTATCATTATCATCACCTTTGACTATAATTTAATGATGGAATTTTAAAAAAAAAATATTCATTACATTCATTTATCTTCCTAATCATTTATTTTTTTTAATACTCCGTTCAATTTTAATTTTAATTTTTTTTTTTAAAAAAAAAACATCACACATAAACTTTGATCAATTTTTTATTTTTTAACATAATAAAATAAACATCATGGTGATGATGATTTACTTTTGATGATGCTTTATTCTTTTCAAGTTTTATTTCATTATTTCATTTTTTTATTGTCATTTATAATCTATCATCATTGGAAAAGTAGTCGTAGAAACTCTAAACGATGATAAACGCACGCGTTTCTCTTGTTTATGCTGACCAATCATTTATTTACACATGATCAATTTCACAATTTTTTATCGTATTTAAAAAAAAATTGATTTTTCGATTTTTTACTATTTATAACAGATAATAAATTTATAACAGATAATGATATATCATATCATATAGAATAGAAAGAAAAACAAGTAAAGTTTGAAACAAAGATGCATTACAATATAGCGTAAGTAAAAATTCATTAATATATAAAATCACATTCAATTGAAATTCTTTTATTTACTTATTATTTATTTTTCTTTCTCTCTATACACTTTATACAATTCTTAAACGCTTTCTACACTTCACTTCTTTAATTCTTATCATATACATTTCATATACACTTTAATATTTTATTATTATTATATTCATTTAATGTTTCATATATATTTTCATTTCATATTTCATTCATATTTCATGAAGGATGGTATCAGATTTCTTTTATCCAAATATGGGAGGAGTCGAAAGTCATTTGTATCAATTATCTCAAAGATTAATTCAACGAGGTCACAAGGTGATAATAATAACTCATTCGTATAAGGATCGTACGGGAGTTCGATACCTCACGAATGGATTAAAAGTTTATTACGTACCGCACGTGGTCATCTATTCGGAAGCCACCTTACCTACCATATATGGATTCTTTCCAATATTTCGAAATATCGTAATTCGAGAAGAAATTAATATTGTACATGGTCATCAGGCATTTTCTTCAATGTGTCAAGAAGCCATATTACATGCTCGTACCATGGGAATGAAAGCTTGCTTTACTGATCATAGTTTGGTGGGATTCGCTGATGCTAGTAGTATTTTAATGAATAAAACTTCAAAATTTACTCTTAGTGACATTGATCACGTCATCTGCGTTAGTCATACCAGGTAAAATTGAAATTTTTTAAATTTTTATTCCATTTTTAGGTTATTTTTGTATTTGTAGTATTTTTTTTTTTGTATATATATATATACATATTATTTTTTTTTGTGTATTTGTATGTATTTAAGAAATTATTTTAAAATGAAATGAAATAATGAATAGTAAAGAAAATACAGTTCTTAGAGCATCATTAAATCCTCAAATGGTTTCGGTAATACCAAATGCTATTGTTGCTTCTCAATTTAAACCTGATCCTGGTTCAGTGGACAAGAATTTTAGTAATTATTTATTATTTTATTATTCTTCTTGATTTATTATTTATTATTTATTTATATTTATTTATTTATTAAAATATATTTTTTAGTCACTATTGTTGTAGCAAGTAGAATGGTATATAGAAAAGGGATTGATTTACTTGTAGCAATTATACCAAGGATTTGTCAAACAAATCCTAGAGTTAGATTCATAATAGGTAGGTAAGGAATTCACAAATTACAGATATTATACAAAAACATTGAAAATTGAAGTTTCTATTAATAATAATAATAATAATAAAAATAATTAATTAAAAAAAATTAAAAAAATTAAAAATATATATATAAATTTATATAAAAAGGTGGAGATGGACCAAAAAAAATTGAATTGGAACAAATGAGGGAAAAATATTTATTACATGATCGTGTTGAATTACTTGGCCCTGTAAGACATCATGAAATCAGAAATGTAAGTTATATTATTTATTATTTATTTATTATTTATTATTTATTATTTATTTTATTAATTATTTATTGTTATTATTTGTTACTAATTATTAGATTTTGACTAAAGGACAAATATTTTTAAATACTAGTTTAACAGAAGCATTTTGTATGGGAATTGTTGAAGCAGCTTGTTGTGGGTAAGTTAGATATGTATATATCTATATATTCTTTATGTTATTTTATTATGATTTTATTATCAAAACATTAAAAATTTATTATTTTTATTTTATTTTTTTTCTTATTTTATACAAGATTACTGGTGGTAAGTACTAAAGTAGGTGGAGTTCCCGAAGTACTCCCACGACATATGATCATTTTTGCAAGCCCTGAGGAAGATGGTATTTATTTAAATCAAAAAAATTTTTTTTTAATTAATCATTTAAATTTCATATATATTTATATGTGTGTGTATATTATTTAGATTTGATTAATGCAGTAATGAGAGCTATAGAAATGATTGGACTTGAAGAAGTTTCACCTATTAAACTTCATGATGAAATTAAAGAAATGTATAGTTGGGTTAATGTTGCTGAAAGAACCGAAAGGGTTTATAACAAAATTTGGGGATTGAAGACTCCTCCATTATTGGAAAGATTAAGATTGTAAGTTTTTTAAAATGATGATGATTATTAATTAATCTATATAATTCTTATTTAAGTCAATTATTAATTCTTATTAAATCAATTCTTAATTAAATTATAACCATTAGATATTATGGATGTGGAATATGGGCTGGTAAAATATTTTGTATAGTAATGGCATTGGATTATTTACTTTGGAGATTTCTGGAATGGATATTTCCTGAAGAAAATATAGAAATCGCTCCATCATTTCCTTATCAAAAATATATAAAGGTAAGAAATAAATATATCTCGAAATATGAATATATCTATTTTTTTTATTTTATTTTATTGATTTATGGATTTATGTGTAAAATTTTATTTAATATGTCTATATATATGTTAAATAAAATAGATTTGTAAAATGGCTGAAGAAGAGAATAATAACAAGAATTATAATGATGTTAATAACAACAGCAATAATGATAATGTTGATGATAATATTGATAATATTAATAATCTTGATGATTTTGATGATATTGATGATATTAATGGTATTGATAATTATAATAATAGTGAAGAAAATGATGATGATGATGAATATTACAAGAGCAAGAAAAGATAAACGAATTATTATCAAAAAAGTACAAATTAAAATTTTTTATATTTAATATTTTATCAAATAATAATAATCATAATAATATAATAATGATAATAATTATCATCATCATTATTTAAAAACAATTAATTGTATTCTATTTCTTCTTAATTCCACATAATAATTATTTTTAGACTATTTATTATATTTACTTTTTTGTTTTATTATTAGTTGTTATGTATTATTATTAATTTGTTATAGAATTTATATTAATGTTAAACAAATGAATGAATCTAAATTTTATATTTATTATTAAGATTTGAAAATATTTAACCATTTATTATATTACAAATATTACAAATATTATAAATACTTCAAGGAAAGGAAATAACTTAAACATCTAAATATTTATTTATTATATATTGTGAATATTATACAATTCGTTATATACAATTCTATACTGTTAATTAATTTTTGGATTTTATCATCTCACACAATAATAAGTTCAAATACGAAATTACAGAAGCAGAACACTTAATGTAGTCCCCACTCTTTTTTTTTTTTTAAAAAAAAAAAAACCAAAAGATTTCAATAGCAAGCATATCAATGAGCGCGTCGATGATTAGAAAAAATAATATGGCAAGAATTTAATTTTTTATTATTCGTTTTCTAGTTAGATATTAAACAAGAATTTGAATAATTGAATTATTTACGTTAGAAAAATGTAAATTTATATGTAGAAAAAATATATATAAATATATATATATCTATCTATCTATGTAGGAAATATATGTAAAAAATATATATATGTAGAAAATATATATGTAAAAAAAAAAAATCAATGTAGAGAATATATGTAGAAAAATTTATGTAAAAAATATATATGTAGAAATATATGTAAAAAAATATATGTATAACCCGTCTAACCCGATAAAATTGATAAAATTCTACAGTAATATCGATAAATTTAATAAATGTATATATACACACATAAGATTGTAATTATATTAATTATCCCTTTTCTTAGAGAGGAAAGTATAAATTAATCATCTCTCAATTCAATGAACGGATAACGTGCTTCAGGCATATTAGAAGGTGGCGGTGTATTGGAAGGTGGAGATCGTGACCAAGCAAGAGGTTCATAATCACCAAAAAATGTTGTTATCCTTTCATTAATAAAAGGTTTCAACCTCCTTAATTCTTCCCGACATTCAAAATGTTTAGAACAATCAACTTGATGTAATTTCATCCAAGAATAAGATGGTACTTGAAATGGAAATGTACAAATATCTTTAACACATTCTTCAAATTTAGATCTCAAGTGTTCAGTCGCTAAAGGTGGAAACCTTCTATCCACCGTAACGCAATATAATTTATTTAATCCTTCAACATATTGTTGCCTTGATATTTTTAATTTATTTATTGTGGTCCTTGATAATCCTATAAGATTTTTGGGTTCATGAAAGAATTGCTCGAAATTATCTAATACCAATTTTGATGATTCTTTATATACTGTCGAAATTCGATAAACTTCTGATAATTTTAATGCTTGTAAAGGTTCTTCTTGATATGATCGTTTAAGGAATGCCACACAAGCCGACGTTAAAGTTTCCACAATATATTTATCGGCTAATCTTAATAAACTTGCCACATCATCCCAACTAATTTCAAAAAAGGTATTGGGATAAAGAAATGAAAGTAATTTTTCAATATCAGGTGCCGCATCATCTCTTAATTCAATTCTAGGAATTGATTTTCCAGTAATATTTGATATAATTAAATCTTCATCTGATGGTTTTGCTGATAGAAACATTCCATTAAAAAATTGTGATGATAATGATAAAATATTTTTATGTATTCGAAATGTAATATTTTCTGCCGTCAATTCAACATCACCATCATCATAAAAATGTATTTCACTGCTTCTTCCAATTTTTTCATTTTTTCCAAGTCTTTCCGTTGGTGGTGATAACTTATTATGATATATTGGGGAAGTTGAAAATGCCATGATTGATGAATTGATAATGACGATGAGATTAAGAAATAAATGTTAATAATAATAATATTAATAATAATAATAAATATTAATAACAAGAAATATTTTAATGACAACAATATCAATAACAACAATATTAGTAACAATATTAAATTAACAATATTGATAACAATATTAGTAAAAGATTCGATATTAATTGATATTAATTAAAAATTGAAAAAAAAAAAATTGCAAAATTTATTTTATTTAAAGATAATTTTTTTATGAAAAGAAAAAAAATTGTAGGGGAAGAGAATGTATAAAAAAATTCGACAAAAATAATGTTTTATTTATACTTATTTTTTTATTATTTTTTTTTTTTTACCTAGAAATTTGGCATTCCATAGTTCCACGCATGAAGAATGGTAATGTTTGTTAAGTATCGTCATCATGTAAGACACGTGCATTCTCTGGTGATTCTAGAAATTTACTTTTGGTTAACCATCGAGACAATCTGAGACAATCTGAGACAATCCTTAAAGAAAATAAAGAATAAGTGGCTTGCATAACTTAATAAATAAACTACAGTAAACTGACTGAATAAAAAATAGAAAATGAAAAATAAATGAAAAAATAAATAAATACAGCAATTAATACAATAAAATACATAATAAATAATATTAAATACACAAGAAATAAATATACAGTCACACATTGTTTTTATATTACAAAATTTTGATACAAATAAAAACTCTTTACCTAATTTAGAATTTTGGAACAATGAATAAATCATTTACCTGGGGATAAAAACAACAGAAACCAGAGAATTTCAAGTTTTTTGAGTTTTAAGAAGATTAAAGTGTGTCGATGTATCTTTTGTGCTTCATTAGTTTTTCTAATTGAGTTAATTTTAATATGAAATCCATTATTTTTTTTTTTCTTGTGTGAGAACTTTTAATCAAAAAACAAAAACAAAATATAAGATAAAAGAATAAAAAATGAAAAAAAAAAACCGGTTTATAGATCAGAGTCGGGCGTAAAGTTTAAAAAATATTATACATTTATATCATTCATATCATTTATCTGAATAACTTTTCGTTTTATTGAGTATTACAAGGAAATGAAAATTATCTATCAAAAAAAAAACCTCAAAACCTACAAACCACAACTCAAACGTTCAAACATGATGCAAATACATAGTGTATCCCCCCTTTTTTCTTTAGACAAATGTAGTTTTCATCTGACCTTAAACATAAAAGATATCAAGATATATCCAAGACAACAAAAGATTGTCCACATTTATTAACTTATCAATTAATCAAATTTTGTCTTGAGTTGCCTTGAATTGCTTTGAGTTACAGCGAATAATTCTTTTTCTCTCTGATAATCTGCATCTAATTGCATCAAATTTACATAAAATTCTAATTCATATTTAGACAAAAATTGGAATTCTTATATTTCTTATTAGAGAACATATTGAGAGAGAATTAAACTTACACTAACCTTATTTCTTATCCTCATTCATATTCAAAAGAATTTTCACAGAATTATTATTATTATTTTTTTTTTTCAAATAACAATTACACAATAAATTTCTTTTATTAATACTATATTTGTTTTTTTTGTGTTTATTACAAAGTATTCTAAGAATGATGAAAAAAATGATGAGAATAATGGAAATAACGGGGGAAAGTCTGTGTAACAAATTGTCCCTCTTGGTAAAAAAAAAATAGAACGCGTATATTTTGGTCGCGATTAAAAAAAAAGAAAAAAAAAAAAGACGTTATCAGTTTCATAAACGTAATAATGATAACAAAAGGATTCCGAATAAAGGATTTTTTTGAAACAAGATTCCGAATATATATATGTATAAAGAATTGAAATTCAAAGTTCTGAAGTTAAGGGGGAATTTTTTAAAAACTAACGGAGTCTCCTTCATTAAAATGAATAGTAAATATACATTTATATTAAAAATTGACTAAGAAAAAAGATTGAAGTTAAGGGGAAGTACCTAGTTTGAAATTTATTTTTATTTCCTTTTTAGTTATTAGATAATAATCCACATAGTAGCAAGGGGTAAATAAATACGCCTAAAAAGAGGCGTAAAAAAAATAAATAATATCTTTTTTTATGGTTATGTAATTTACATGTTTTACATCAAAAAATTATATCCTAACACTAGAACTAGAAGTTTAACTTAGAATTTAAGTCCTATAACCTACGATATAACATTAAGGAATAATGAATAGTTTTTTTTTTTTTGGTTACAAAAAAAAATAAAACAATTAACTGGTTTAGTACTATTACTCTGAACAATGCAAAAAACAAATCAAGGATAAATTTGATGTCATGTGACTTGGTGGCGTTTTTTTCGTGCTGGTAGAATGGTGACCTTTGGAAAATTTCTATTTTCGATCTATTGAAATTTAAATGAATTCCAAATAAAAAATCCATATTTATATTTATCAATAAAAAAAACAATGATTCAATATGCACAATTGTATTATTTAAGCTTTTTTACGAGTAAACAATTATATATCGTCATTAAATATATATTCTCGGGAGTGGATTTATGTACAGTAATAATAAATAATAAGACATTTAAAGTTTAACGCGTAATACAAAAGATTAATTGGAATGTATAATAAAAAAATAAATTTTTATTTCTAAATCAAAAAAAAAAAAAATAATAAAAGTTCTAAACTCTATATTGTTAAAGATCAAATTTTAAAAGATTCCACAATACAATAAAGTATTAAATGAAAAGCAATTCTAAAGCAACTCTCTGAAGTTCGGTGAGATTTGGTGCATCCTCCCTCTTAATGATCACGGGTTTTTTTATGTTTCCTGATATTAATTCTTTGAACTTTTTAAATCCTGATTCGATATATATATCTTTTTCCTTTGATTCAATGATTGATGGTGTCTCCTCTGAAATCATCATCTTCTCTATAACATCTTCAATTTTTTTATCTATAGGAATACGTCGTAATGCATATTCATTATTATATTCGGTGGTCGGCATACGATTATTATTATTGCTGTCGGTGTTGTTGTTGTTGTTGTTTCTAGAAGGGTAATCATAATATTCATTATAATATTCATTTTTGATATTTGATGATGAATAATTATTTTTATTACTTCTAGAGGAATAATCAAAATAATCATCATATTCATTTTTGTCATTCTTTTCATTCTTATCATTTTTGTCATTTGATGATAAATAATAATTATAATTATCATTATTATTATTATTATTATTATTATTACTTCTAGAAAGATAATCAAAATAATCATCATATTCATGTTTGTCATTTGGTGATGAATAATTATTATTGTTATTACTTCTAGAATATTCAAAATAATCATCATATTCACGTTTGTCATTCTTGCCATTTATGATTTCACTTTTTGTTGGTGATGAATGATAATTATTGTTGTTGTTATTGTTATTGTTTTTATTGTTTTGAGGAGGATAATTGAAAGGTGCAAGTTGCGAAAAATATTCAGTACTTTCTCCTTTTGGTAAAGATGGTGACAGTGCTGATCGTGATGGGTGACAGGGACTACGAGATGATGATGGTGGTGGAAGAGGTAAAGGTGGCAAATGTGGTCTACTACAAGAAAAGGTTATTGAAGGTGATTGTGATGACTTATGAGGACTACGAGATGAAGGCGGTGGTGGTGGCGGTGATAATGATGGTGATGATGATGATTGCGGTGAATTATTACGAGAACTAATAGAAAAAGGTAATGTTGGTGATGATTGTCTAGGTCGGTAAGAACCGAGAGAAGTTTGTGGAGGTGATAATGGTGAACTAAAAGGGCTAATACTCTTTCTTCGTTCGTCATATCGATCTGTTGTTGAACGATATGATGAAGAAGGAGGAGGTTGGCCATCCATCGAACGATATGACGAAGATGATAAATGGCCATCCGTTGAACAATATGATGAAGATGATGGATGACCATCTGTTGAACGATATGATGAAGATGAAGATGAAGAAGGTTGACCATTACGATAAGATGATGGATGACCATCTGTTGAACGATATGACGAAGGTGAAGATGAAGAAGGTTGGCCATTACGATGATGATGCGGATAATATTTACCAACCCGATTATAAAGTTCAGGTGTTTCTGGAAGTGGCAAAGGTCCATATGGGTTCTTCCATCCAGATTCTCTTTGTGAATCTTCTTGTGAAAGATTTGCTTGTGCTTTAATAATCAAAGGTCCAGTGCCAATCTTCGTTGCAAGGAAAGCATTTGGTAAATGCTTTACCAAATCTTCATACTGTTTCGATAAAAAAAGAAAAAATGTCAGAGATATTTATGATATTTGTTATTTTTGTTTTAACTATTTTAAGTTCAGTAGAAAAAATGAATGCAAACCGTAAGTTATTTTACCAATTTTTTTCCAGTGTAGGTCAAGGCTCTATTGTACTTACGAAAGTATTCATGAGGCAATGAGTTTATACCGATTCCTTTATCCCCCGACTCAAGTACTAAGTCAACAATTTTGTCTTTTGTTTCAGTTTGGTGAATGAAATCGACTGCATTGGCTTTTCTTGCGTTATGAATCGTTGTGAAGGTATCTTTTTGATAATAATTTCTTCTGCTTGGTGCCATCTTTAATAAAAAAATATTGCCATTGTGAATGTCATATCGAAGTAAGTCAAAGTAAAAAAATATTATTATTGTACCTATATATAATATTATAACTTTTATTCAAATTTTCCCGAGGGTAGCGAATATTATTATTTCAAACTAAAATTTATCAATTCCTTGTATTACAGTAGTTTAATTGCGCAGGCGAACAGTAAATTACTATAATGAGTATAACATTTGTTTATATCACATTAAAAATTCTTAAAGATACTTCATCGGGATTTTTAACAGTTGACTTTTACGACAGAAATTATAATTTTTTGTCTTGACATTGCCTTTTATACTTTTGTATGTAAAAATATTTCCTTTTTTTATTTTTCCATAGTCGATATTCGAAAATATACTACCCCTGTCATTTAATCCTTTGCAATTTCTTCAGAGTCAGTTATGGTCTTTTTTTTTTTGTTCTAAAAATGATTCGATACGTATAATCTTACTGCCGGGTACTTTATTTCTTAATTAGTCGAATAATCATACCGAAGTCAACAATCTTTGTTGAATTTTACGTCGACTTGATATATTTAAAAAAAAAATCTGTTAAAAAACCATACCCTTGCTTTTATCAAATCCAAGGTCAAACTGTCTTCAGTTCACAATAAAACTGCTAAAGTCACTACTTAACAGGTTTATCAGGTTTATCAAGTTGAAATGTGGTTTTCTGTACTAAAGCTATAGATAAAAAAAAATGATCTGACTTCATTCGATTTTGTCACATAAAACTAAAACAGGTTCATATTAGAAATATTTTTCGCGAACTTGTGTTTTAAAATATTTTTATTACTTTGAAATTTGTTCTAAATGGTTTTTGAAATCGTTTGAAATCGTTTGAAATCGTTTCGAAATTTCAAAAGCTAGTAACTCCATATAAAATAAGGTTTGTTATTATATAACATATATAATAATAATAATATTTTCATAGACTAAGGGTTCAATTATGTATTTATAAATATTAAATTTGGAACTTTGGTAATTATGTCAAATGAACAAGATGAAAATCATAATTATGGTACTTTCTTTATAAAAATGATAATTACTTTTTAAAAATTTAACTTACTATGTATATCATTTTATAGCTAAGATCAAGGTCTTTCTTTCTATCTTAGAAATACCTTTTCACAAATCACAAATGAATTAATAAAAAAATTTTTTAAAAAACTTTAATAAATATGAATAATCATCAAATAATCATGAATAATTGGTGAATAATCGACTAATAATTGACAAATAATTATGAATAATTGGTGATTATTTGCAAATAATTGTTGAATAATTATAACGATTAATTGAGTACAAATATTACGTAAACTATTTTTATATATATAAATAATAATGTTGTATAACGGAATATTTTATTTTTAATCTAATTTTCTCACAGATTTGATTATTGATCCCCAACAAATTCTTTCTATATAATGTTCCTTCCTTTAATGTAATGAGGAGTATCATGCTTTAAAATATCTTACGATTACAAATCCTTTTATAATAACGTGTTTCATGGTATTTTCTTTGTTTGAGGTGTCATATTATTTTCAAATAAACTTCCTTTTTACAATAATTA